TCTCACTTATATGTGGTGCCAGCCATGTGGGCAGCCACGACAGTCATGCGGTTGGTGGTGAGGGTGCCAGTTTTGTCTGAGCAGATGGTCGTGGCATTCCCCATGGTCTCACAGGCGTCCAGGTGCCGCACCAAGTTGTTATCTTTCATCATTTTCTGCAATAAAACTATATGAACAACCTTAACTCCTGAATGTAAATCAGTTTTCTGTTCTGGCACAAATTTAATTAGATATTTTTTCATTTCTCTCTACATTTCCACTCACCTGCCTCACCACTCATTTTTTTTCTCTCTCTCTCTCTCTCTCTCTCTCTCTCTCTCTCTCTAAGTTTCTCGTCTCTCTCAGAATTTTTCTTGCAATTTCTCTCTCACACAATAACTCTCTCACACAATCTCCTTCTATCACACAATCTCTCTCACACGCACGCATGCACGCACGCACGCATGCGCACACACACACACACACACACACACGTGCTCCTCCTCTGTCTGCCCTGCACCGTATCTTCAGTCTTCTATTGTACAATACGTTAATCTGATGCATAGGATACCTAGCCTAACCTAACCTTGATTTATTGTACAGTACTTTACTCTGATGCCCAGGACACAACCTAATTTAGCTTACAGTACTTTACTCTGACACTCAGGATACCTAATCTAACCTATCATACAGTACTTTACTCGTTTTACTTTTATCCTCTTCACCGCGGATCGGCACATTGGCCTCTTGGGCGATCAGTCACATCTCTATTACGCATTGGCTCCTGAATGTATCTGAACCTGCTCCAGTGCTTGTCAAGACTGATCTTGAGAAAGCTCACACTCAGTGCAGCCACAACACTATGGTAAGTTGTTCTATGAGTTCATAACTCACTCCGAAAAAGTTTGCCCTTACAGCTTTCTGGGGTTGCGGTTTCTTCAACCTTGAGCTGTGATCCCTTGTGGGGCAAGCGTCCACCAGCTCTAGGTAAGGACACTTGACTAAGTAATGCCATTTGAGATGTTTATACACCTAAATTAGGTCCCCATTGCCCATCAACAGCATAAGCTAGGCAATTGCAGGTGCTCTAATCTCTCTGGGTAGCTGAGGTGCCAAAGTGCAGGCACTAGTCTGTTGGCCCTCCTTTGGACATTTTCCATCAACTGACAGTCCCGAACATATCTCGGGGACCAGACGGGGTGACAGTACTCCAGGCGAGGAAGCACCTGACTCTTGAAGATCGTTACGAGGGATAGACCATCTAGATATCTGAACGACCTTCTTATAAGACCTAATAATTTAGTTGCTTGGTTTACCTTCTCACAATGGTCGGAGAACTTCAGTTCATTATCAACATACACACCTAGGTCCTTTTCACATTCAGTCTCAATTAATGCAGTTTCTTCATCCCGTTGGGAAATACTGCATGATACACCTCCTTACCGTTGGTATATTCCAAGTGCATCCTCTTACACCTCGTGACATTGAATCATAGTAGCCATTTCTTTGACCATTCTTTTAGCTCACAGAGATCCTTCTGCAGCTCTTCACAGTCTGCTTAGTTCTTAATTTCCAGAAATAAGTTGGCATCATTCACAAACATTTATATGGAGAAATGTACAGCTTCTGGCATGTCATTTATGGAGCAAACAAACAACAGCGGGCCCAATATACTGCCCTGCTTGATACAGGTACACATGATTTCGTGCCATATATCACCACACACTGCTTGCGATCATGGAGATAGTCTCCGATCCACGCTAGGGCACTTCCCCAAATCCCGTACTTTTCCAGTTAATTTTCAGCCTTTCATGGGCTATGCTGTCGAAAGCCTTGGCAAAATCCAGGTATATAATGTCGATATTACCCACCTGTTCCAGAATTTGGGTCCAAACATTCAGTACCTCGAGTAATTGTGTTGAGCAAGAGCGTCCCGGCATAAAACCGTGTTGGCAACCCATTACAAGGTTATTTCGTAGCAGACATTCCATCATGGCATCTCTTATAATGCTCTCAAGTATTTTACATACTATGCTGGTCATGCTTACTGGTCTATAATTATATGTGGACTGACGATTGCCCTTCTTAAAAATAGGACCCACATAAGCCATTTTGCAATGACTGGGGACCTTTTGGTCATCCAGGCATTTACAGAACAGGATCTTCAGGGGATCAGCAAGCTCGTGGCACAACTCTCTTAGTACTCTGGGATGCACCATGTCAGGGCCGAGACTCTAATGAACCTCAAACGCAGGAAGATTGTTTGCATCATCTCTTGTGAACACCAAGGAAAAGAAACTGTTCAATGCCTCCGCTTTGTCCTGGTCAGAATTTGCGTAACTACCATCTTCAAGCGTCAGGTCCGATACTCCTACTCGCGTTCTTAATTTCAACTTTGCAAAGCGGTAAAACGTCTTTGGGTTTGACTTGACCTCGCTTGCAACCAGCCTCTGGAACTCCTTTTCAGCCCTTCTTACACTCTGACTTTGCTTGGTTCCTGGATCTGCATACACCCTCCTGTCTTGCTCATCGTTTAACCTAACCCATGCCTTGAGTTTCTGGTTTTCTTCTTAACTTTGTCGACCGCCGCATGGTTCGTGTGTCGTAGTCTCCTTGTATTCCTGGATGCACTGGGTTTGGTCTTGGGGATATATTTTTTGATCAAATGGTTCACTTTACTGGCTATGATATTCAGCATAGCGAGTCAGACCAGTGGATACCCCTCAACCCGTCATAATTTATCTTGTAATATTTGCACCTTGGCCTGGTTTTGTCGAGAACCAAGTAACAGTTAAATCTGAAGGACAACATTACATGGTGGCTAGTGTCACTAGGTGTTCCAGTTTGGCCTCCATACCCTCCCCGTTTGTTATGATGAGGTCCAATGGCTTGGGTGTTTGCTCCCCTCTGTAATGAGTCAGGTCTTTAACATGTTGGAACAGCAAATTATCTCTCAGAATTTCTACAAAAAGAGTGGCGAGGTTACTTTTGTCATTTAGCGTGAACTCATTTCTCCAGTCGATGTCACCAAAGTTAAAGTCCCTCATGATTAGGAGGTGGCTAGGGTTGAGCATCGTTGCATTGTCAATTAAGGCTCTTAAGTTCCTTTGGTTTAATAAGCTACAGTTGGGGATCTGTAGATACACCCGACAAGAAGTAAGCCTCTCCCCTTTAATTTAATTTTACACCACTTGAATTCTTCAAAAACATCCTCTCCATGTACCCTCACCTGGCTGGCTTTAAGGTCTTGCAGAGCACTGATAACCACATCCCTCTTGCAAGTTTCTTGAGAAGGGTTTGTAAATAAGTCATATCTGTCAATACACAAACAGGTACTCCCCGACTTAGGACGGGGTTAGGGACCTACATCCAGGTTGTAAGTCGAAATGGTCGTAAGTCGGAAATGCTTAACACATAGAAAATCGAAAATTTGGGTCTCTTTTTCTTCTCAGCACCACAAAACACTCACTTTTAAGCTTGCCAGCCATTTTAAAGTGAATTACAGATGAAAATTTTGTGTCTGTACTGACTTTGGGACTCAAAAATACATAATTTGACCACATTTTGGTATTACTGAGGCGGTCGTAAGTGCGGGTGGACGTAAGTCTAGTTGGTTGTAAGTCGGGGAGTACCTGTATTGAACTCACATTCCTCCCGAGTCAATTCTCCTGTTCTTGTATAACAGTTCTACAACACTTACACTATCGGTTTGATGTACCTTCAGTAGTGTTTCAAACTCCTCTCTCTTATCAAGAACCTATCAGTATTAGTGTAAATGACTTTTATGCCGGAATTTGTTCTCGGTAACGTCCCTACTCATGGTAGTGACTCCAGCCCCCCTCCATTCTCAGCAGCTGCAGTATTTGCTTAATACACTATATTTTTCAAGGTGTGGTCAGAGATGTCATTGTTTACATGATGCTCGCCTCCTCCTGGGTGGGCAGTAGAGCAGTTGGGGGGTGTACCGCTGCCCCCTGGCTCTGTGCTGGCACTCTGGCTTCCACTACCCTTCCCCTAGATATAACCAACGTACACCCGTCCTCGTTCCTCCACCTCTCCTCCCACCTCTGCTTCAAGCCCCGTAGAAGTTTTTTGTGTTGTTCCCTCTGCATTACCGTGCGATTGTGGGTGAATGAATATATTCCGAAATGCCTCGCTCCTTGCTAAGTTTCTTGCCTGCCGAATAACTTCCCATTTCTTACCCTCACTCACTAGTGTAATCCTAAGGGGGCAAGGCTTGTCCTCCTTCTTTTGACCTAGCCTCCTTACATACTAAGGGGGGGCTGCAATATTCAGAGCCGCTGCATAAATATTCTCAAATTGCAACTTATCATGTGTTTTCCTACTCACAGATTCCTCCGACTGGCTCTCAGGGACTCAAAAACTATTACATTGTTCTTGTGTTTGAAACATTCCCATTGTTCCTCCTCTTCCCTAACAGTTGGTCTGCTAGTTGCCATCTCTTTGAAACACTTCTTCAGAGTCTCTAGCTGCTGTAGATCCTGTTCGGATCCTGCATTACTCTCTGCCACCTTCCGTGGTCTTGCTAAAGCCTGAACATAACTCTTCTTCGCTACTCCCTCCATTCTATCAGCTACTTCCTCAATTTTAGCGAGGATCTCTTTCCCAACTTGCTCTAGTTTGGCAAACAGCAAGGATCCAGCTTCATCTATTTTTGTCCCGAAGAAACTAGTTCCTCTATGATTTGCAATTGCCTCTTTTATTTTGATTATGCAGTCAGAGCAATACCAACAACAGCCTCCATGCTTTACCGCATTATGTGTCATCCTAAACACTGAATTACCAAGACCCACACAATGTACATCCGACGTCGCCCTTCAGTACACCCAGTCCTTGCTTAACGTTGTCCCAGACAACGTTGTTTCGTTATAACGTTGCTACTCTTTAGATACCCGTGATTCTGACAACGTTGTTTTATGACCTGACCGATTCGTTATAACATTGTCACCCAACACGGACTACTTTGTATGGCGTGCCACCCTCTCTTACCTTGGCGTGCTATGCTCTCTCGCGGAGCATCACAGCGTCCCCAAGCGTTTTCTCCCCAGTCTTTGTTAAGCTTCCACAACGTACGTGCATGCTTCAGTGAGTTTGCTATAAATACTGTACTGTAACAATTCGAAATGGCTCCCAAGAGTCCCAGCCCTGACATAGTGCATCCCAGAGTGCTGAGAGAGTTGTGCAACGAGCTTGCCAAGCCCCTGAAGATCCTGTACTGTAAATGCCTGGATGAACAAAAGGTCCCCAGTGATTGGAAAATGGCTTATGTGAGTCCTATCTTCAAGAAGGAAGATCGCCACTCCACGAACAACTATAGACTGGTGAGCCTGACCAGCATAATATGTAAAGTACTTGAGAGTATTATCAGAGATGCCTTGACGGAACATCAACTACGAAACAACCTTGTAAAGGATTGCCAACACGGTTTTATGCCGGGGCGCTCCTCCTTAACGCAATTGCTCAAGGTATTGGATAATTGAACCCATATTCTGGAATGGGGTGGTAATATCGACAATATATACCTAAATTTTGCCAAGGCTTTCGACAGTATACCCCCACGAAAGGCTGAAAATCAAACTGGAAGGGTACGGAATTCAGGGAAATGTCCTAGCGTGGATAGAAGACTTTCTACATGACCGCAAGCAGTGTGTGGTGGTTAATGGCACGAAATCATCATCTGTACCTGTCACAAGCGGGGTACCACAAGGCAGTGTATTGGGCCCGCTGTTGTTTGTTTGTTTCATAAATGACATGCCTGACGTTGCACACTCCTCCATACAAATGTTTACGAATAACACCAAGTTATTTCGGGAAATCAAAACCAAGCGGACTGTGAAGAACTGCAGAAGGATCTCTGTGAGGTCCAAGAATGGTCGAAGAAATGGCTGCTGAGATTCAATGTCATGAAGTGTAAGAGGATGCACCTGTGGCGTACCAACGATAAGGAGGCGTATCATACGTCCCAACGGGAAGAAGAAACTGCACTATTTGAGACTGAATGTGAGAAGGACCTAGGTGTGTATGTTGACACTGAGCTGAAGTTCTCGGGCCATTGCAAGAAGAAGATACATCAGGCAAATAAATTATTAGGTCTTATAAGAAGGTTGTCCAGTTATCTAGACGGTCCGTCCCTCATAACGATCAAGAGTGAAGTGCTTCCCCATCTGGAGTACTGTCACCCCATCTGGTCCCCAAGATATGCTAGGGACTGTCAGTTGGTTGAAAATGTTCAAATGAGGGCCACCAGACTGGGGCACTACTCAGTCGAGTGTCCTTACTTGGAGCTGGCAGACGCTCGCCCCACAAGGGGTCACAGCTCAAGATTGAAGAAGCCACAGGTCCAGAAAACTGTGAGGGCAAACTTATTTGGAGTGAGAGTTGTGAATTCTTGGAACAATCTGCCAGAAAGTGTTGTGACGGCACCGAGTGTGAGCTCATTCGAGACCAGACCTGACTAACATTGGAGCAGGTTCAGGTACATTCAGGAGCCGGTGCATGCCCAGTACTTGCCAAAAGTGAGTAAAAACAAATTTAGATTTAAGCACAAGATTAGTAAACACTGGTTTGGAAATAGAATAGTGGATGAGTGGAACAAGTTAAGGGACATCATCATTAACTCGAACACGCTGGATAGCTTCAAATATACAGTAAGTTGCAAGGATATACGAGCAATAGGGGTTGGGTGTAAACAGTACTGCCCAATGTGGGCCAATAGGCCCGCTGTAGTTTCCTCCCTTCTTATGTTCTTACTCGGATGCCTAGGATACCTAACCTAGGCTAACCTAGCCTAATCTAAAAAACCTGTTGTACAGTACCTTATTATGATACCTAGGATACCTAACCTAACCAAACATATCCAACCTGTTATACAGTACTTGACTCTGATGGCTAGTGCACTGCTCACAAAAGTTGATAGGCCCTATGGTTTTGTATTGTCCTGTACTTACTTCCCACTGATTTACTTGCAGTATTTTCACCAATCTGTACAAGTGGTTTAAACTCCTATGTCATATCATGCTCATCATATCATGCTAAGTAATTTTCAGGTCAAAATTTCAATTTAAGGTTACCATAATGCAACCAAAGTCAATGCTGAAAGACCATTATATCGAGGGTACTGTCAAATATGAAACCCTCATATAACAGACTTTATGAAGAGAGATGTCCATTATATGGAGGTTTCACTGTACATTTGTTACCTTCAGTAAAGCATATACAGTAAATGTTTCATACACACTTATAATGTATCTACACTCAACACCCCATGTATCCTCGGCATCAAAGTACAGTATTGTACTATAGGATAGGTTAGGTTAGGTTTGGTTAGGTTACAGTAGGCTGTGTATCCTCAGCATCAGAGTAAAGCACTGTACAATATGTTACGTTAGGTTAGGTATCCTAGGCATCAAAGGAAAGTATTGTACAATAGGTGGGGTGAGGTGAGGTTAGGTTAGGTTAGGTTGGGTCAGGTCAGGTAGTGTTATGGGCATGTCCAGGTAACTCCACACCCACCTACCTTGACAGAGAAAGCAAGAGAGATGGTGACGGCAAGGGGTAGGCCCTCTGGCACTGCCACCACCAGCACTGTTACACCGATGATGAAGAAGTGCACAAATGAGTTGATGTGACGTACGTTGAACTCCTCCTTCTCCACTACATACATCTTGACGCTGAAAGTCACCACCAAGATCACTATTGTCAACATAGCTATCGCAGAACCTGGAAAAGTGTGAAGAAAACAACATAAATGAATTATGGTCGGTTAAAGCATGTTAGCTGGATTCAGTAACTTAAGAGTATGGGATATATTACATATACTGTACATGTATCATTAAGTAGACATTAATTTTTAACCATTTGCACTTAAAAAAAAGTGTGATTTGATTCCTTGTTTCCACATAATGAATAACTATTCATTTTACCAAACGTAAAATTAAAAAAAAATTTTGTACACATATCCCTTAAACTTCGAGGGTTTAAACATCGTGGCCCTTGCCCCTCTACAGGTTGCATGGGGAGCAAGGGAGGTTGCATACGTGCATTTGACAGCTTCCACTATTGGCAGCGAGAGAATTGCCCTGAGTGCTACAAGTGCTGCCAGTACGACACTGCATCTAAGAGACAGAATATGCACCTATGCTCTTCATATTTCATATTTTGTCACATTAGAGTATTAAAATGATTTTTCCACATCTTTTATAGTTATATTATATTTAACAATGGCAACATGCATTACCATCTCTCACAGTCTCACAGGCCACAGCTGACTGTCATGTCAGCCAGCTGACTTCCCGCACACATCTCAGAGAAACAGACTTCCTTAATGATTATTCTACTCTATAAAAACAAGGTGGCTTAGAAATAAAGAAAATACAATATAAAAGTATAAAATAAGAAAAACGAAGAGCATGGTTGTGTATGTGTGAGAAGTGAACGTGTGTGGAAGTGGTTCTCTCCAAGGCCTTGGCTATAAATTACATCGCCAACTCACCAGCTGAGCCACCTAGTACAGTGACCCCTCCGTTAACGAACTCAATCCGTTCCAGAAGGTCGTTCGTTAACCGAAAAGTTCGTTAACCGAAACCATTGTTTCAATGGGTTTTTGGGTAATTGGTTCCAGCTCACCGAAAATTTCCTAAATTCAACAAAAATGGAAGAAAAGTTCACTTACTCTGAGGTGTGTATGTAGAAGGCTCCTGGATGATGATGATGATGGGATTTAGAATGGGGGTGGAGGAGAAGGAAGAAGAGAAGGCATTGGGGTGAAAGAGAAGTCACCCCATGGTGCCATTTCACCCATAAAATTTTAGCTCTCTTGGTGTAATTCAAGATTATTTTCTTTAAATCAATACTGCACTGCATTATATATTGTCAATATGTAAAATATATTTCAAAATGACCAATAATTTGCTTGGAAACACAGAAAAAAAGCGTTTAGTTGAAGAGAGTCTCAAGCAAGATGTTACCTCCAGTGAAAACAGAGAGAGACTAACTCCTGTTTGCTGTGTTAAGAGGCTGGATGCCGCGCATTAAACTAGTCACTTTACCTTCAATTATGTTCAATAATTGTTAAAATGACTAAAAAATTGAATATTAAACTTTTAAAATTATTGAATAGTATAAACTTCTTGATATTTACTAAAATAGTAAGGCATTTAAGCCCTAGAACCGAGTAATGTATTGGCTGACTGATACTAAAGCTGGTTGCCCGGTCAGTGCAAGTGAAAACATGTTGAAGTCGGTTCGTAAGAACTTCGTTAACCGAATTTTTTTTCGTTAACCGAATTGAAGATCCTTATGGAAGGCAGTTCGTTAATCGAAATTACGTTAACCGAGGTGTTTGTTAAACGAGGGGTCACTGTATACGTATTGTTACTTGTAAAGAAACTATAAAAATGTTGAAAAAATCATCACAATACAATACTCTTAGGTGGCTTAGAAATATGGAAAATATAATAAAAAACTATAAAGTAAGAAAAATAAAGAGCATATGTGGGAAGTAAATGTGTTATGGAGTGGGTTTATCTTCATTTTGGGGCAAATTTGACTTCCTGGAGATGAACATCTAAGTTTTGGGTCTTTGCGGGGTTTTCATTAACCTAATCCATGGGTTGTGTAAAGAATATGTGTATTACATCCCTTTTTGTTCAAATACAGTAAGAGTACATGTATATTCATTTGTTGACAACTTTACAGAAAACCCTTGTTATTCACGGGGGTTAGGATCCAAGCAATGGCGTGAATAAGCAAAACCACAAATAGCAACTTTTACTACCCTAGTGCACTACTGTACACCTATATCAAACAACCGACCAATCGAAATCACGAATCGCAAACCCGTGAATGGAAAGGGTCTACTGTACTTATTTGTTTTTACTTAAACAAATCTTATATTTTTTTCTACTAATATGAAATTCTAGTCAGTCTTCCTACATGGTCTGACCATCACTCACCTCCACCACACACACATACTGTAACAGCAACACTTTTATGATCATAACCACAGCATGGAACACACTGACCCTCGACTTAGTAGTAAACCTAAATTTATTCTGATGAACTATCTGAATCTGAATACTTCTTAGACAACCTTTTATCTTTTCCAAGCGTGGAACCTAAACTGCCTTTTCATGCTTTAATAACTTTATTTCTAAAAGACAAATACATGGTACAGTAGTTAAAACAACTACAGGCCTGTATTTGTGCAGGTGGGGGTCGATATGCTCCGAAATTTTATGTGTGAATAGTGACAGCCTTCATATACCAAAATTTATCGTCCATGGTCTCATATTGTTTCACACAAAGTATACACAGATAGTTGTTTTAGCTACTGTATTTCAATGATGAAATTGTCAACAAATGCTGTAAACCACTTAAATCATTTTCTCACCTGCATATCCAATGTGAAGAGCTAATCTTGAAAGTTTTTGTTGTAAGACTGATTTATCTGATTTTTCTTCTCTTGTCTGTTTGAGCTTTTTTCTCTCTGTCTTCGCTTCTTTGCTTTTCTCTGTCAGAAAGGAAAATTAATCATGATAAGTTACATGCAACAGAGTGAAAAATAAGGTGTGGGTTGTATAGTTAAGATGAACTCATAAAATAAAGTTGCAAAATATAGTACTCTACTTCACATATAATTATCTATTGTTTATTTCACAGTTGCACAATAAAATAAACTTTCCTATGGTGGCCAATATTCATGACACCTACACCTTACAGACTGTTTCCAAGATTTCCCCTAACAAACAGGACTCACCAGTATAATCTAATACAATACTATCCTATGGTCCTAAGAGTTTGATTTTGTGAATTGTGAATCACTTGTAGTGCCCAAGGCTAACTAGTGACAAATAAATCATCTCACCCTACAACTCACTTAAGACAAAAAATTCACCAAGCACTTCAGCACACATCTACTTCTGGCATTCAGTATCATATGCGGCATTCAGAACTTACTGGTGGTACCTATAAATCACCTGTGGCTCCAAGAAGAGTCATGATGATGCCAGCCTGTGAGTTGACACCGACACCAGTCACTAACATTCTCCCACTCCCCTCCATTACTGTTGTCCCTGAAGATAGATGAAGTGTTTTTTGAGAGTTACAATGACTGTGGTAAACACACTTACTAAACTTTACCCTACTACAGGTATGATGATTTCCAATTCTACATTACATCAAACAGTTTTAAAGGACAGTACAGTACAGTATTCCAATCTGTTTTCAACATCTGTAACCTCACACTAAAAATGTGAGGTCATTCAAAATTTTCCACCACACTGTATTATACATTAAAGTTTGAATTATACTGTACTCTTTTCCTGGTGAATATTCTGGCAAGACAATGGAAGAAATTATAAATTGAAAGGAAATTTAACCTGAGTAAACCTGGGTTGAGGCAGATAAGAGGAGCAAATACTGAGGAAGAGAATTACCAAAGAAAAAGAAAAGGTGAGAGACTAAAAAAAAAATAACAAAGGGTAAGACTAAGAAGAACATGAGAAGAGCAAAACAGAACTTAATAAACTAATAAAATTGTTCAAGTTGAAGCAAGTCACAGGAAAAACACCGCCTGTCACCACAAGATCCTTTTTGCTCTTCTGTACTACTGTTACCGATTTGACCAGCCATTCTTTCAGATACAGTTACATGGTATCTACAATTGCCATATGGCATTACAGGTTAAAAAGCATTTGTGTAAAGACCGGGTGGAGATTTTTTTTTCCATTGGGGAAGGGGGCAAATAATGTTTTGTCCAAAGGTAACAGAGACTCACTAGACCACTGGAGAAACAGTGGTCTGAGTAGAGAAATAAGTTGTTCGAAGGAGATTGAGATGAGGACAACAAAAGTGAGAGAGATTGAACTGAGAAGAACAAGGGGTGAGGGACTAACCTGAGAAATTGAAAAGGTAAGAAGAGCAAGGGTTGAGACATAAAAGAGAGACCCGAGATGCATAATGGGTGAGGGAGAGAAAGAGATGGACTTATTTGGGAAGAACAATTACAAGGGGTGAAAAATAGACTAGCTTGGGAACAATAATTACAAGGGATACAAGAGAGACTGACCTGAGAAAAGCAGGGGGTCAGAGGTCTCGCTCTTGGTGACGTGGTCACTTTCACCGGTAAGTGAAGACTCGTCCACCTTTAAGTCCGAGCCCTGGATCAACAAGCCATCCGCTGGTAGCATGTCCCCATACTTGATCTGTTTCACACATGTTTACCTCTGATTATTCCATTTAAAAACTGTTGAGCAAACCCCAGTACAAGCTGTACAAATATATGTAAAATCTAGTAACAAATGGCAATGCATGACAATTTACAAAGCACCAACAACATAACAAGCGTTTAAAAGGAAATGTTCACTGAATGTGGAAAACAATTACAGTACATTTGGTAATGCTAGAAGTAAACTGAGGCTATACTTGAAAAAAAAAAACATTGTCTATGGTATTTTGGTATTATTTCACTTTTTGTCACTAAACAAATCTCGGGAATTTTATAATTGCAATCAGTAATTTTGACAATTCTAAGACACTTTTCTTCAATTGCATTTCTAATGTAAATTACATATAAGTGATATACTTGTACAGTACAATAAGTCCTCGTTAAACGGGGTTATGTTCCTGGAAATGCGACGTTATACGAAACAACGTTAAGCAGATAAATTTTCCCCATAAGAAATAGATAAAATACAGGAGTTATGTTCCTGAGCTTCCCTTTGCCCTATGAAATACATTACATATACAAAAAATCATTGCCATTTCTATAGAAAATAGTGCAGTGAGTTCTGCTATAACGTGTGTTTTGATAACGCGAATTTGCTCTAACGTGATTTATGAATTAGGAACGATATTTGTATAACGCGAACGCTTGTTTGCTATAACGCGATTTTTGCTTACTATTTCTCCAATTTTGTGGTATTAACTGTGAATATGGTAAAGAAGAATATCTCCAAGAAGCGTTCTGGTAATAGAATTCCCGGTGATGATCGTAAAAGAAAGGATATAACACTTGAAGAGAAGCTCGATGTTATCAACCTCAAAATCACCCTTCTCCCCCATCAAGTTACATTCATATTTTTTCAAGGTAAATTGTTACATTTACTGTATGATTTCATTATTAGATATAATGTAACATTTATTTAGACTGTGCTATCCTTTGTGTTAGGCTAACTACTAAATTTTTTCGATTTCGAGTAATCTGCACCTAAACCTATTTTCTCCATAAGCCCTGTTATTTCTATTATGCGATTTTCTATAACACGATATTTTACAAGAACACAATTATCGCGTTATAGCAGAACTACCTGTGCATACATATACAACTCCAAGTTTTTATGGGAACTCACCGATGGGCAAAGGTGGTAGAGCGAGTGTGTGGTGGGTAGTGAAGCTGAAATCCGCAAACTCTTTTGAAGTGAATTGCGGGCCATTATCTGTGACTAGAATCTCAGGTAATCCGTGTCTACTGAAAACCTCACGGAGAACCTTTACCGTAGCCTCGGCCGTAGTACTCTTCATTTGAACTACTTCGGGATACTTACTGTAAGCATCGACAAGTACAAAGTACATCTTTCCCAAGACTGAACCTGCAAAATCAGCATGAAGTCTTGACCAAGGTTTGGATGGAAAAGTCCACTGATGAATTTGTGCAGTAGGTGAATCTGCCCTCATGGATTGACATACTTGACATGAAGAACAACTCCTTCAATTTGCTTGTCCAGATTGGGCCACCATACAGTACATAGTACCTTGCCACTGTCTTCATTTTAGTCATGCCTAGGTGTGTCTCATGTAGTTCTCGAAGTATGTCTCCTTGCAGTGCAGTGGGAATTATGACACGAAGTCTCCATAGAACACACCCTTGTTCAATGCTGATTTTATCTCGATGCTGTAGGAAAGGTTGTAAACTTGGATCACACTCACCAGTACAGTACTTGGCCATCCACACTGAGCATATTTCAGAAATTTGGATGGATAATAATGGATCTACTGCAGTTTTCTTCTTGATCATTTGATGTGTTACAGTTGTGATGATGTCTGTTTCAAAGAAGTAACAATTTACAACCTCACTGTCACAGTTCACTTTTGTAGCCAGAGGGACTCTTGACATGCTATCTGCATCAACATGAGCAGCCGTGTTCCTGTATTCTATCTTGTAGTTGTATGAAGCCAACTTAAGTGCCCATTGAACAACGTAGTGGCACACACCCAGAACATTGAACAACGTAGTGGTACACACCCAGAACATTGAACAACGTAGTGGTACACACCCGGAACATCGAACAACGTAGTGGTACACACCCGGAACATCGAACAACATAGTGGTACACACCCAGAACATTGAACAACGTAGTGGTACACACCCGGAACATTGAACAACGTAGTGGTACACACCCGGAACATTGAACAACGTAGTGGTACACACCCGGAACATTGAACAACATAGTGGTACACACCCAGAACATTGAACAACGTAGTGGTACACACCCAGAACATTGAACAACGTAGTGGTACACACCCAGAACATCGTGGTACACACCCAGAACACTGAACAACGTAGTGGTACACACCCAGAACATTGAACAACATAGTGGTACACACCCAGAACATTGAACAACGTAGTGGTACACAAACATCGAACAACGTAGTGGTACACACCCAGAACATTGAACAACGATAGTGGTACACACCCAGAACATTGAACAACGTAGTGGTACACACCCAGAACATGAACATCGAACAACGTGGTACACACCCAGTGAACAACGTACACACCCGGAACATTAGTGGTACACACCCGGAACATTGAACAACGTAGTGGTACACACCCAGAACATCGAACAACGTAGTGGTACACACCCAGAACATTGAACAACGTAGTGGTACACACCCAGAACATTGAACAACATAGTGGTACACACCCAGAACATTGAACAACGTAGTGGTACACACCCAGAACATTGAACAACGTAGTACACACAGAACATTGAACAACGGTGGTACACACCCAGAACATTGAACAAACGTGGTGGTACACACCCAGAACATTGAACAACGTAGTGGTACACACCCAGAACATTGAACAACGTAGAACATTGAACAAACGTAGTGGTACACACCAGAACATTGAACAACGTAGTGGTACACACCCAGAACATTGAACAACGTAGTGTACACACCCAGAACATTGAACAACGTAGTGGTACACATACAGAACATAACAACAATTGGTGGGTACACACCCAGAACATTGAACAACGTAGTGGTACACACCCAGAACATTGAACAACGTAGTGGTACACACACCCAGAACATTGAACAACGTAGGTACACACCCAGAACATTGAACAAACGTAGTGGTACACACCCAGAACATTGAACAACGTAGTGGTACACACCCAGAACATTGAACAACGTAGTGGTACACACCCAGAACATTGAACAAACGTAGTGGTACACACCCGGAACATTGAACAACGTAGTGGTACACACCCAGAACATCGAACAACGTAGTGGTACACACCCAGAACATTGAACAACGTAGTGGTACACACCCGGAACATTGAACAACATAGTGGTACACACCCAGAACATTGAACAACGTAGTGGTACACACCCAGAACATTGAACAACGTAGTGGTACACACCCAGAACATTGAACAACGTAGTGGTACACCAGAACATTGAACAACGTAGTGGGTACACCCAGAACATTGAACAACGTAGTGGTACACACCCAGAACATTGAACAACGTAGTGGTACACACCCAGAACATTGAACAACGTGGTGGTACACACCCAGAACATTGAACAACGTAGTGGCACACACCCAGAACATTGAACAACGTAGTGGTACACACCCAGAACATTGAACAACGTAGTGGTACACACCCGGAACATTGAACAACATAGTGGTACACACCCAGAACATTGAACAACGTAGTGGTACACACCCAGAACATTGAACAACGTAGTGGTACACACCCAGAACATTGAACAACGTAGTGGTACACACCCAGAACATTGAACAACGTAGTGGTACACACCCAGAACATTGAACAACGTAGTGGTACACACCCAGAACATTGAACAACTGTGGATTCCCCACCCCCGGGTTAGGTTAGGTTAAAAACTGTTTTTTCAGGTGGTTTTTGTTGTTTTGAACACTTTTTACCTTGATTTTTATAGCAAATCTCTAGATTCTGAAATGGGAGGGAGCCTTATCTCAGAAACAATTGAATTGCACCAGAAAAGAAGGTAAAATTCGTTCATAACACAACAACAACCACTGGAAATACAGTTTCAACTTCTATTTCGCAGTGGCAACAGGTGAAAATTTACCGGTATTTTGGGGGCAAATGTTTAGTTTTGAGGTATTTGTGATATTTTTAAAATATCATTATGGAAAATACTGTAATATTATTCTGTTCTTGATTGTAAGTATCATTTTAGTTTATTTCATTATTGGGATAAAACCACCATGTTATATTATGTTCATTGTTGTTTCCTCTTTGAATTGTTACAACATTTGCTTTTGTGTTATTTCAGATATGTAGTGAAATGAGTCAAATAAAGCTTGGGTGTAGCAACCAAGTGTTTTATTTACCACAGTATTTCAATTATAAAGTTTTGAAAATTCATAGAACTTTGATGGTTCTCCTGTTTGTTGAAGCACATTTATTGTCTTCTACCTGTACAGTACATGTTCACGTAATGTACACATGACCAGCCACCACCTTCAGTTAAATAAAGAGAGGTTTGGTAAAGGTAGGTCAGGTTTCCTTGTTTGATTACTTTAGTTGTTTGCATGTTTTAACCTCCACATTTTTCCTCAACTTCAAAGCTCTGTCCACTTTATGCAGTCATTGTCGTTGGTAGTGGGGGTGGATTATATCTCAATACAATACTGTAAATATTGTATCTCCCTTGTAGTCAATTTCTCCAAGATAGGAATCACTCTCGAGTTACATCAAAATATAAAGGAAAAACACAATTTCATCCAACAAAACATACCGTAGGCCAGTGGCCTTAAAACAAATACTGCAACACATAGTACTGACTGTACTGTACACAATATACCAATTAGAATATCTTTGTTGCTGTCTCACCTGGCATATGTCGCCGACGAGGATATCAGTGATAGGCACCTGTAAGATACTCCTGGAACGGACAACGGAGAAGGAGTGAGAGTTCTCAATCCTGGTCTGCAGGCCCCGGAACTGGCGCTCTTTGCTGTGGACAAAACAGTGCTAGGAATCATGCCACTGTCAGTAACACTAGTGCACATTCTCTCCACTCCTGGAGGCTAGTGCCTCCACTTCTAAGCTGTTTTCCCAATCTATGGGATGATTATTGTTCCTTACATGAACGAACAGTGCACTGCTTTCAGATGCTGTTCTAATATTGTACTTGTGCTGTTTAATTCTGAGTTGCACTGCTTTCTCAGTCAATCCCACATAATTTCCATTACAATTGCTACATGGAATGCAGTAAACACTTCCATTTACTTCAATTTACATTCAAGGTTGGGATATTCTTGATTAATATATTAGTAACACGTAATAGTAGAGTAATACTTAAAAACAACATTAATATTTAATAATTTAAGGGACTTAACTAACTGGACAAATTCAATGCGATAAGGTAGAGTCAAAATATTCTTAAATGTAGGAACTTGCCTGGTTTGAGTAGAATGAAAGGATTTTTTTTAGCCCTTTTAAAACAAAGTTCAACAATCAATTAAGGGTACCCAAGTTTTTGTGGAATGGACTGAATGTGTTTCAGTTCTTCATCAATAAATTCAGGGTCACAAATACTAAATATCACAAAAACACAGCAGAAAAAACTGACGTTTTGGTAAATTCATGGTGACTCGATAAAGAAGTATGAAACTGTCTACCTGTGTAGGCTTTCTGTACACTTTGAATTTATAGTTATGACCATTTCTTCTGATAAGCATATCAAGAAATGGAGGGGATCGATCTATTTCTCCTGTGTTATTTTATCAAGATTTATCTTATCCACGTTTTCATTGTGGATCTACATGATCTATATATATATATATATATATATATATATATATATATATATATATATATATATATATATATATATATATATATATATATATATATATATACTTCCAGCCACTTTTTATTTATTTTATTTTTTTACGGGATAAGCCCACCCAGGCACAAGTCACTGACCCACTTTGGGCCTGGGGGAAGGGCGAAAATGTAGTACTTTTTTTTTTAACGTGGCCTCCAGCCTCCCCCAATAGCCACACCATCGCCACCATTTAATTACCTTAATACTAAATATCCTAATACATAAGTAGCTATCCTATCCAAGGGTAAGCTGACCCAACCAGGTGAGAAGGTTGGGTCAGCTTACCCTCTGACCTGACTACCTACCGCTGCGGTGCTTTTGTGAAGATTAGTAGTGACATTACCTATACCTGACCACTGTGGGCTTGATCTCATCCTCCTCTGTATATATATATACCCTGTTTTGTACTTCTACTTAGTCTGTACTCACCCCTGAAGATGTGAATTACACGAAAGCGCTTGGGAACTTCGTGTTTTTCTTTCCTTGTGGTTATCAGGATATATATATATATATATATATATATATATATATATATATATATATATATATATATATATCATAATAGATCCACAATGAAAACGTGGATAAGATAAATCTTGATAAAATCACACGGGAAAAGGGAAACAACGGAGCACCTTAGCTTACGTCTTTATTCAAGAAGCCTCTGAAGATGTCTTGAATAAAGACGAAAGCTAAGGTGCTCCGTTGTTTCCCTTTTCCCGTGTGATTTTATCAAGACATATTTATATATAATCAACACCTCAACCCGCCAGGATTCGAACCCACGGCCCACTAGCCCATGACTGTGACCGGGGAACGCTAACTGCTGGACCACCAGGATACTAGCATGTAAGTAAGTAACCTCGTGTTTCGAAGCCGGATTTGGTAATACGTTACTCTGACCACCTACGTTATACGGGTAGTCCCCATTAGAGGTTCACGGCGCCATAAGCTCGTTGAACAGGCTTTGTGTGAAATATAACAAAGTCTAGAACTGCTTTTAGTATCCTGGTGGTCCAGCGGTTAGCGTTCCCCGGCTAGTGGGCCGTGGGTTCGAATCCTGGCGGGTTGAGGTGTTGATTGTATGTAAAAGTCCGCGTGCTATTGGGCTAATGAAATAAATATGTATATATATATTTATATATATATATATATATATATATATATAATATATATATATATATATATATATATATATATATATATATATAATATATATATATATATATATATATATATATATATATATATATATATATATATATATGGTTCCCTCTGCATTACCGTGCGCTGTACTGTATTAAGGTGAAGTTAATTCTAAAACTGTATAATTATTAAAAAATGAATGAATACAGTAATAGTGTTGTGAGATTTATTGTTAACAATGATAATGACTGGTGTCAGATGGTCGGTGATGCCCTGTAACATTATCTTTTTTCTGTCGGTCATGCTACTGGCCAGGATGGCACCACCTTACCTGTAGTCATTGAAGGCAGTGACGAGAACAACCACTACAACGGCTGCCAGAATGGCCACACCTTCAATCCAAGGTGGAGCCTGCTCTGACTCTTCCTCTATGGGGGATACACAGTGTTAGTGACCCTCCTACACCCCAAGGGCCAACTATACCCAGTACAGTACAGTACAGTTCTGTACTAACACACCTACCCCATACACCATACCACTGTCCACATCACTCTACACTCGTACATTTTGTTACAAATCCAAGTTGGTATGATCTAAATCTTATCAGGTTAGGTCAGGTCAGATAAATTGGGGAATTCTCCTGGAAACAAAATTTATCTTGATATCTTTGACCTAAACTCTGTAAGACATATCTTCACTCAGAAAGCTACAGGGTACCATGCCCTTCATAATATATGTTATAAGGCACCACATTACTGCTATTGGTACCATATAAACACTAATATAGCTGTACTGTATACAGAATTATGAGCTTGTAGCTAATATATTTATGAATAAACTTTCCAGCTGGAGAGATGCAGTAAGAAGCAGCCTGGGACTTTCCAGTAAACTCTACCAGCATACGAGAGACAACCTGACACCATATACCTTGATATCCACACATGTACACTTCTTCAGGGCAATAAATCCTCATTTACCCATCTTCACACCAGCGTCCTAATGCCCTCACACAGTATTGACATATCCACACTCACTCACACCCACATACAGTGTTATGGCATGATTATAATAAATGTTAACATGTAATTTAAATTAACTGAAGTATACTTCACAATTATCTAATGAGGAACATTAGTATTTCCTAGGGCTTTGTTAACCCTAGTGTAATTGAAGCAGTGCCAGTATCCTAAACATGGATTATCTCCATGGTGGAGCCAGCTATTATGAGGATCAAACAAATATTATATGTCGAAAAGTAATGTTTATATTATGTAGAAGTGATGCATATTAATAGAGTTCTGGAGGATAATATGGAATCAACAACAAATTTTAACATCCAACCAATCAAGAAAAAAGCCATGGCAAATATTTGTAAATTCAAAGCATAGTGGAAGCTCTGGGTATCAGCCAAAAGAGATCCTGCAGCAGGATGGTAGGAAAAGAAAGGAAAAGTGGAAACAGGCAGTAACAGGATCGAGTTTGTATGAACAAAGAAGTACAGATGAAAATTGGTAGAACCTGACTGTAGCAAATAGAATCATCTAAAAGCAGGGTAAAACTAAGCAGAACACACTCACCAACAATCAACATGGAGGGATCCATCGCAGAACTGTCCTCTGGTTGCAACAAGGGATGACACAGGTTAACTACCACATTCTGTATACTGGTAACTTTGGGATTACTGCATTACATAAGCACAGCGGTGAGACAGAAAAGGGAGAAACACTTTTCAAAAATATGAAAGAAGAAAGATGTGTCTCAAAAATATTTGTGCTGTAATCACAATGAAACACGCAGCAAGATCTTACAGTAGTACCATTATGGTGGTGAGGTATACAAGTATTTGGTCAGGGGCGACATTTAGAGAAGAACAAGATGTCTAAGGTATTTTCTTTTAGTTAAACAACAAAACGTTTTAATGCATGCATAACATGAGTCTACTAAGTAGATCAGAGTTAAAAGATTCACCATTTCAACACACTTTACCCGTAGAGTACCCATAATCAAGAAAAGTTGAGAACTCACCCAAAGCACTCTCTTCAGTATGGAAGAAAGAGAGGACGATGCTGATGACAGCAGCCACTTGTAGGACAATGAGTGTCGTGTCTTTGAGTGCCTCAATCACCAGCCGCAAGAAGGACGCCGGAGCTTTAGGGGGGATCACGTTGGTGCCAAACACCTCACGACGATATCCCAACTCCTCTGATGTATTGCCAATACCTGCCCACAATACAGGAGGAGTATTTTTTTTTAATGGATTAGGGGAGGTGCACATAAAGTTTCCTTGGAAAGCCAATATCCCCACACAAAGACCTACTAAATACAATAGTCAGGCTAGACCTGCCTAAAAACATTGATAAAATGGAAATGCACTATTTAGTTGTAGAATAAGAGATGGATGCAATTCTTACATTTAACGAATAGCAACTTGTATGTGTATGGAAAGATAAAATAGGGCATAAATAATGATGAACTTTGAGTAAGTGAGACTTGCATGGTAGGGGTCATAGTGGAAAAGTACTTTTATTGAAAAACTTCTTGCCAAGAATGTCAGAAATTAGTTCAAGCTCAAGTATTATTAAAAATCAATAAATAATTGTTATTTGTTTTTTTTGTTTACTAGTGATACTTTTATTCTCTTCGCCACTGATCGGTCATGTCTCTGATACGCACTGTAGGCAGATACTGGGCATGCAATGGCTGCTGAATAAATCAGAACTTGCTCCAGTGTTGGCCAAGTCTGGCAGTGGATGAGCTTACACTCGGTACCATCACAATCTCTCTGGCAGATTGTTCCATGAGTTCACAATTCTCACTCCAAAAAAAATTGCCCTCGCAGTTTTCTGGACTCGTGTCTTCTTCAACCTTGAGCTGTGACGACTGAGAGGTTTACTGTATACACTTCGATTAGGTCGCCCCTCGCCCGTTTGCGTCTGTAGTATAAGCGAGGTAATTGCAGGCGCTCCAATCTCTCTGGATAACTGAGGTTCCGTAGAGCAGGCACCAATCTGGTGACCATCCTTTAGACATTTTCAATCAATTGACAGTCCCTAGCATTTGACAGGGTATGGCACAAGTCTTTGCTTTCTAAACTTCCCTCTTATGGTTTCTCTCCCCCACTTTGTTCTCTAATTTCTAGCTTCCTTGAGAACCAATCTAAGGCAGTATTGTCGAGGGATCGATCTCTCGCTCTTTCTCTACCAATAGTGGTGTCCCACAGGGTTCTGTTCTTTCACCTACTCTCGTCCTTCTTTTTATCACTGATTTACTTCACACTACGACATTCTATCCTTTCTTACGCTGATGATTCTACTCTACACTCTTATTCACATTTTCCCCTTCCCCCTAATTCTCAAACTAGATCTGTTTCTAGAGCTGACATCATTCCATCTATCAATGCAGATCTGTGCAGCATCTCCGAATGGGGAGGTAGAAACTTGGTTAAATTCAATAGTAATAAAACAGAGGACGCAATCATTCAGCCAAATTCTAAAATAGATATGCTAGGCCTCACCATTTCCTCTAATATGTCATGGAAGCCACACATCCACAACATTGCTAAAGCTGCCTCCCGAAAGCTGGGAACACTCCTGAGCAGTTGCTTCACGTTTATAGGAGATTCATTCGTCTTAACTACTGCTCTCATATCTGGGGTGGCTCTTCTGTCCAGCTGTTAGATAGGGTGGAATTGAAGGTATTTCGTCTTATTGATTTTCCTCCTGTGCTTATTTTACCATAACCTTAAACTAAGAATAACTTGTATTCGTAATGAAAGGCCGAAGTTGCTGATGCATGTGGGGGAGTCAGTATATACATGCAAAGGAGGGAGTACGGCATATCCTTCTCATACACCTTATTGTACTAGGTACAGTAAACCCTCGATAACTCGGTATTTGATAATTCAGAATTTCATATAACTCGGCATGGATATGGTCTCGGAATGTATTTGTATAACTCGGAAATGACAAGATATATCAAATTATCTGGGAAAATCTCGGTATATCTGGCCACCTGCATCACCTACCATGCATCTGTGTCAACTACTATGAGGCTTCATTCTTTACCTGCAGTGCTGGTCAGTGTTACTTTTTTACATTTAGTAATTACATGTACACATATATGGGTCAATAACTTTTTTATTGTTGTATTTTTGTAGGAGGGGGAAGTGCTTCGATAAGTCGGAATTTTGGATAACTCGGCAAGGCCAGAGCCCATATGTGCAAAGTTATCGAGGGTTTACTGTACTTGGGGGAAAAACTCTGTGACGAGGTAAACTTCACCTGTAAACACATGACGTGACCACTATAACCAGGCCACAGTTATGAGGAAGATAGGAAGTAATAGCTCGACCCGCTGGTCGTAACTTATTAAATAATTACCATTATCAGAGCTGCGTCACATATATGACGCGCGATAGTGTGAGAACAAGAAGTCTGAATCAATACGCAAGGCGTTCATATGTTCCAGTAGCCTCATCTAACTTATTTGTTCCAACAGTCTCAACTGCCAGTGGGCCTTAACAACTATTATGTATTAATGTGTGTGTGTGTGTGTCAAGCAGATTGTTACAGTGTGTACGTGGGATCCAAAATCAGTATCAAGCCAACTTTGAACTTTAAAAGAGCCTTAAACCCTTCAATAAGTAAAACAATTCGGCGAGTTGCCACCACTCAAGACTATGGGTGTGGGTGTAGTTATCGGTGAGGGTGTCAGCGTGGGAATGAATGTGAGTGTGGGTGGCAAAACTCTCTTATAGTTTATCTTGATATTAGTATAACCATAATATAATCAATTTGCACTTCCCATGAATATTCAAGGTTTTTATCGGTGTCATAAAATTACTCACAATTTTACCTCTTTGAAAACACTGGCGCCGTCAACATGTAAGGCAAGTGCGTGTAACCAGACAATAAATATACAATGTGACCCGTTTCAGAGCAGTGAAACTCTTACGTGAACTGATAACACTGCAGGTAGTACTGTGTCTGGGGAAGAACACGGACAAAATACAGGATATAATATACTTTTCGCACAATTGTAACTGTATTTTCTATTCTGGTTTACTAATCATCGCTTGAAGATTTGGTTTTTCATAAAAAAGAATACATAAAATTCCGAAATAGTCCATAAAAATCGCCACGGTAGGCAAAAGGCAAGTGAACGTTCACTTGACGTAGCTCAGAAAAGCAAGAAACTTGAATCACAATAAAAATGGCGAGTAATTGTTGGGCAGGATGGTATGCAAGAGTTGGAAAAGATAAAAAAATAGAGGATACCCCCACACCGATTACCATTCAGCTGACGTTCAGTAACTTAACCAATCTTAGATACACACTGTCCCTAGTACACACTGTCCCTAGAATACACCGTCCCTAGTTCACTGTCCCTAGTGCACACTGTCCCTAGTACACACTGTCCCTAGAATACAGTCCCTAGAATACACTGTCCCTAGTACACACTGTCCCTAGTACACACTGTCCCTAGAATACACCGTCCCTAGTTCACACTGTCCCTAGTACACACTGTCCTTAGTACACACTGCTTAGTACACACCGTCCCTAGTAAACACCGTTCCTAGTAAACACCGTCCCTAGTTTACACCGTCCCTAGTATACATTGTCCCTAGTACACATTGTCCCTAGGACACATCATCCCTAGAATACACCGTCCCTTTTATATACTGTCCCTAGTACACATCATCCCGAGAATACACCGTCCCGAGTACACATCGTCACTAGTATACACCATCCCTAGTACACACCGTCCCTAGTACCCAAATGTTCTTTCATTTAATCTGAGTCAGATCGTCCGGGCCTGAAATGTCGAATTCTTTTTACGTGTGAGCTTGAGTGGACTTGTTGTGGATGGGAATCTACCTTTTGTTTTTATTTACATTTTGGACACAGCGTCAATCCTCATTGCCTTTCTCTGCCAGCGAGGATAAAATTGTCTTTTTTTTTGGCGTAAGACTTGCTACGACCACACGCTGAGAGGTAATCACACAGCACGTTCAATATTATGAAACCTGTTTATTTGGGATAATTATTGTTATAAATTCGCTCGTCAATACAATTTTTGGTGTTTCCGCTCGTAGGTGGTCGAATGTTGACAGACGTGAGTACAGTACGCTGCATTATACAATACCTTACTGACTAGCGAACTTCATGAACTGTTACATATTCTGAACACATCAATACATTTTAATGGTCCACTGTTTGATATTCCTTCGCGCAAGTTTTCTTGACTATTCAAGTAAAGATTTATGGACGTATTGACTAACATAATTATAAACTCGGACAAGTGGAAGAAATTTGTTAAAAATGATAACCTTCAAAGTCACTGCCTAATTCTCGGGTAGAGTTGGTGGATGACCCTAGAGTTTATAGAGCTTAGACCTGGTTGTGACGGAAAAGAGCAGACACCTTCCATCAGTCACCTGCGCCACCCCCTCGGCTGCATATCTAAAGAAAAAATCACAATCAGTCTTTCTCGACCTCACGCTTGCTTTCATCGCCGCCTCTGGTCTTTACAGGGAACTTGGTAACCCTCTTTATTCTTAGCCCTGGAGTCTTTATAAGCTACTTTTTGGCAAACGTTTCTGGGAAAGTTTCTTTGATCATCAGTTTACTAAAGATGCCAGTAGTACGACTTACTTCAGTCCATAGAGTAATGCCATTACTGCTTCTGTGAGTGATTCCAGGATGACTCCTGTGTATAGTTCTAACTGCTCTCTCGCCCTTCTCCCTCACCCCCACCTCCATTTCCCTTACCCTACCTCTCCCATCTCCCTTACCCTATCTCTTTCATCTCTCTCACCCTCCCACCTTTATCTCCCTCGCCCTTCCTCCTTCATCTCCCTTGCCCTACCTCCTCCATCTCCCTTACCATACTTCATCATCCCTCCTTCCTCCTTTTCTCCCTACCAGCCTCCATCACTCCCCCTTGCCTTAGTAACGGTTCATGACTGCAGGTATGTGAGTATCGATTGCTAATACTTGTCCTATTAATGGTGTTCATCCCGTTTAAGATGTCCTCTCCTGCCCGACACACACACACGCACGTACACACACATGTACACACACACACACACACATGTGTACACACACACACACACACACACACACACACACACACACACACACACACACACACACACACACACACACACACACACACACGTACACACACACACACGCACGCACGCGCACACACACACACAC